CAGTATTGCATAAGGTGGTTCACTAATGTGTTCTCCATCTTGCTCGCCAACTATCTCATTTGCCATGGTTAATGGTTGCTACTAATATGCCTACTAGTAAGTACTACTAGTACTAGCACTAGTTTTTATCACCAAAAAGTCAACAACGCTCACAGAACCACATCGCGGCACCTGACGAGCGTGGTGGAGTGTTACTGTGTATTACTGAATAGTTATTTGTGCCACGCTGGGCTCCCTCAAAAACTCTTTAAAATTACTTCGATTTGGAAGCAACGCCACGGTTTGTCACTTTCTTAATATTATCATGCAGTTGTAAAATTGAATTTGAATAAGGTAATAGGCACTAAAGCAGTAAAAAGAACGGCACTGCTGACGCGCGAAGTGTCACCGGTAACAATGGCGACCAGTGACGTTATGCTCGTTGGAAAGGAACAAGAGGCGCCACAAATGCTTTGTGGTTTTACTAAATAATGAAGGGGTACAGTGGCGGGGGTACGGGAGAAGGGGGATGGATATCGGGCGAGACCTAGAGAGGGGCGGGGTAGACGGGAGAAAAGGTGGCAGGGAGGCGGGAGGAAAGGACGGAGTAGGAGGCCAGTGGCGAGGATTCATACAAAACAAAGCCTATTATAACTATGTGTAGGCGTGCAAGAGAGGAGAGAGAGAGAGAGTAGAGAGAGAGAGAGACGAGAGAGAGAGAGAGGCGCGAGAGAGAGAAGTTATACTACGCTAGAGAAATAAATAAAAGAAATCCATAGCACAAAATATATCCATGAGAAAATACATTGTTACCGGAATATTTACGCAAAATTGTCACAGAAACTAAGTGACATTCAAAACATAAAAATGCAAAATATAAACGGATCCACTGGGGTTGACGGAGATGAGAAGGAGCATCATGGGGAAGAGTGGGAGGAGAAGGGCAGGGAGGCGGTGAGAGCAGGGGCGAGCAGCGCGCGGAGGAATACACCCCCCTGTAAAATAGAGTACTTAAAACTGGTCATCCCAGACATCGTGTCGCTATTAAGCTATTTGAGTGAAATTACATTTTTAAATGACCGGACTCTGCCCGATCAGAAACTATTAACAAACCGACTATATGTACACTACAGGTAACGCTTCAGTGTATGGCACGTGTTGAAAAAAGTGATTGACAGTCAAAGCGACACCGACAAAAACTGGGTGGCAGATCGAACCTTGATTTCTCGGATAATACCATCATTCAGCTACAAATAAGAAAGTTATAAATTGTACGCTATTGAATAGCCAAGGTGTGTCCGCGTTTTCTCAGACGCTAGCTATCTGGTCGTGTCGATCATCCTTACCTGCCAATCTATATAGGTACCCTGGATCGCGCGCTTCGGCAAAATGACATGCAAATCTACGGCTTTCAGGATTATTCGTTAGAGATCTAAGCGAAGTTAGCGTTGAAAGTGTTCTATGGGATGCCAGGCCATAACATTTAGCTACATGCCATTTTCTGCCAGACAAATAGAAATGTACCGCTTATAGTTACTTATTGTGCATGCTTAGAAGAAAAGAATAACGAGACAAGTTGAAAAGAATAAAGCTACAGGCCATGAAATATATATATCACAACGGTCAGAACTCGAAATTGAACGACGTTTAAATTTTCATTGAACTCTGTTTGTTTGTGCCATTAACGTACAGTTTAGGCTAGATCCTCGTGTTCCTAGCACCAACTGCACCCGCACCACCCGAATGCCCTGGAATATAAATGCTAAAATAACATAAAATTGATTCGTGAGTGCATTTTTCACGCGGCGCAAAATGATGCGACTACAATTCATGCGACTCAAAAAAGCGGCGCCGACGCGCTTTGCGATAGCGACTACAATATCGCCTTAACTCGTCGCCATACTTGCACGCGGTGTCTATTATAGCCCTTATTGTCACTCGGTAGAAGAAAACTGGAAAGGCACGAGAGCAGACTTATGTGTATGTAGCAACCAAAGACAGGACGATCACACCCTGCCTGAGGCGCGCTCATCACTAGTCTAAATAACGAGTGCACCGTCACGCTGCTTCACCCCGCCAAGCCAGATTGAATGCGTGTCGAAATTTATATGCAGACCCATTCCTCGGCGTGCCGTTGAAAGACACGCTCGTAGGCGTGTAGGCTAGAAAACTCGCCGACGAGCTAGGAGAAAGTAGGGCAGCGCAAGGATCCGAGGCTGAATTGTCGGAGAGAGGGCGAGAGAAGCCGGGGGGGACGCCGGGGGGTAATGGAAAGTGAGAGATCGTGGAAAGTAATCCCTAAGGGCACTACTAATATGGATACAGTACTACAAAGGAGCAAACCAGAATATGCCTATTACTGCTAAACCACACCCAAAACCTTTGTGGATTACAACACAATACACACAGCGCCAACACACACACCCGCGCGCCCGCATACACACATCAACCCGCGCCCACACACCAAGCCCAGCATACACAACACAGCACATGACACACAGACAACACGCCGCACGTAGCTGGCACGCACGCACGGCACGCACTGCACGCACGCACGCACAGGCGCACACATCCCATCATCACACACATGTTGCTCAGAGGAGTCGCTCGCAGCGCTGCACACATACCACTACGTACAGCGCACACAACACACAACACACGGCCAGTTCAGCACACTACACACCATCCTCACACACACTATCACAACCACACACACACACACACACACACACACAACACACACACACACATATATATATAGATATTCTATTATATATACTCTATGTATATATATATATATTACTATAATATAGCACATTTCACTCATGTGAGGTTTCCACTTATACAGGAAAGTCTAAATGTGACTTAATTATAGAAACATTATAAACCGCTGACTCTCCCTAACAGTAACACTATCGTTATTTTATCTCACAATACTACATTACGCGCTGGTACAGATACGCTCCAGACTGGTAACATCATATCAGGAGTCTATCAATATTGATAGACTCCTGATCATATATCACGATATATCACGACCTTCAACTGTCCCAGTAATATGATAGAGGGAGGCCTGGTGTGATTTTTCATTACTATATATCTAATCTAACGCATATATACGTCGAAAATTTATCTACATAAATTATTAATATTCCTGCCACGCAGACTTACACGCACATGCACGCACACGCACACAGACACGCACACATACGAAGACACGCACACACACACGCACACGAAATACAAGCTTCAATAACGCACAGTTATACAAGCTTCAATCACTTATTGAAGTTTATGAAGAGTTCTCATTCAAATGGCTTATACAAACGTATTACTTATAAGCTGTATAGGTTGAAACCAAGCCTAGATAATACATCGTAAAACACCCCAGATCAAATATTATCAGGATGAATAATATAGATTTAATAAGGAATAATAGGAGTGAATAATCTCTATTATTCACTCCTGAAATTATCACGGGAAGTCTATACATCATGCAGACACAGTGATCGTGGATTCTGATTTGAGCAACACCTTTCGAACAGGTGCTTTCCGCGTCATTCTCTTGTACCTAAAACGTGATTATCCGTTGGTTCTAGTAGCGTCTTACGCTAAGTATTTATATTTTATAAACATTCATAATTTATAATTTCCTATGTTGCTTTGGTGAATTCACAGTGTCTGTTAATTGATGTATAGTTATAAACAGGTTGGACTGTTGGTGAAGACAGATCTTATACAACACTGCATGATGACTGGGCGTTTTCTTACGATAGCATTTCTTTTATTCTTTTACCTATCTTAGTATATTAAAACCCATACGTGGGAACACACTCATGCGTAATACGCTGTGTGTATAGATAGCGTGTCTGTGTGTGCGTGTGCGTGTGCGTGTGCGTGTGCGTGTTCGTGTGCGTGAGCGTGTGCGTGTGCGTGTGCGTGTGNGTCGTCGTCGTCGTCTCTCTCTCTCTCTCTCTCTCTCTCTCTCTCTCTCTCTCTCTCTCTCTCTCTCTCTCTCTCTCTCTCTCTCTCTCTCTCTCTCTCTCTATATATATATATATATATATATATATATATATATAATGAAGGATTGAGAGGCGGGAAGAGCCTTAGCTGGGGTGAGAAGGAATTAGGGGGAAAAGTGATGAGGAGAGAGAACGTCCCAGGCTGGGGCAAGAAGGACACTGAGAGGAAAATGAAGGTACTCAGCTACAAAGAGAAGCAGCGTGGTGAGGCGATCAACTAGAGAGGAGTCCGAGAAGAGATATAATGTAGGGGCTAACGTGCAGTGTTCAGTGAACGTGCAGTGCGGGTTAAGGTGCAGTGTTCAGTGAATGTGCAGTGCGGGTTAAGGTGCAGTGTTCAGTGAACGTGCAGTGCGGGTTAAGGTGCAGTGTTAACATGCAGAGCGGGTTAAGGTGCAGTGTTAACATGCAGAGCGGGTTAAGGTGCAGTGTTAACATTCAGAGCTGGTTAAGATGCAGTGTTAACATGCAGAGCGGGTTAAGGTGCAGTGTAACGTGAAGGGTTAATGTGCGGGTTAAGGTACAGTGTTAACATTCAGAGCGGGTTAAGGTGCAGTGTAACGTGCAGTGAGGGTTAAGGTGCAGTGTTAACATGCAGAGCGGGTTAAGGTGCAGTGTAACGTGCAGTGAGGGTTAAGGTGCAGTGTAACGTGCAGTGAGGGTTAAGGTGCAGTGTAACGTGCAGTGAGGGTTAAGGTGCAGTGTAACGTGCAGTGAGGGTTAAGGTGCAGTGTAACGTGCAGTGAGGGTTAAGGTGCAGTGTAACGTGCAGTGAGGGTTAAGGTGCAGTGTAACGTGCAGTGAGGGTTAAGGTGCAGTGTAACGTGCAGTGAGGGTTAAGGTGCAGTGTAACGTGCAGGGTTAATGTGCGGGTTAAGATACAGTGGAGACGTACAGCGGGCAAATTATACCTGACGAACTAATTAAAATTAAAATTAAATAATTATAATTCGGTTAACTGCTCATGGGGTTAACACGTTGTTTCTACTCTCGCAGACTACGGTAACGCTCGAAGGCAACACGATGGTGCAGAGCCAGAAGGATAAGAAAGGCGTGATCGACACAACCATCACGCGGGAGCTCAAGGGTGACGAACTCATAGTGGTGAGAGCTTACGTTGTTTACTCGGCCGGTAGATGGCGCCCGAGCTTACGTGCTCTGGCCATAGATAGAGGTCTCAGCTAAATCTATAGCTCTGCGCCAGTATCGTCTGCATAACCTAAAAGTGTATACAGAAATGGATAGTAAAATTGTCTATCATGTTAATGCCTATTATGCAATGTCTTATTATATTACACTTGGTATGTAACATATGTTGGTTTCTCTTGCAGACGTCAACGGCGACGGGCACTGACGTCGTCTGCCACCGTGTCTACAAGAAACAGTAACTCATTCTAACTGTCCTGCGAAGCTCCAATCTGTCTCCTTATCTTATTGTTCTATCCTATCTCGAGTGTTTAAAAAGTATACCGAGTCAAATTATAATAAGCCAGAGTACCAAAGTCAAAACATATAGGGCCTAGAGACGTAAAATGTCAAATTATAAAGAGTTAAACTACATTAAGAGTTAAAGTATAAAGTGTCAAGACGTATCATACTAGTGCCTGTTCTTATTCCGCATTAAAAAACCATGTTCTTTTAAAAGTATAGAATATTCGTAACATATCAGGAGTCTATCAATATCTATTGATCGATATATTGATTGATCTATTAATATATTGATTGATCTATCGATATATTGATAGATCTATTGATAGACTCCTGAACATATTATGTCATTCATGCTATTATATTGTTTCGTACGCGTGTAATAAAAACTAATTTTTATACACATTTTATCTTATAGAATTTATAGTCTTATCTATATATATAAAGTTGTTCAGCCGAATTAGTCGGTACTCGCATAACTAGAGAACTCCGCAGTCTAGAGGAAAAGTAAAGATATTTTCAGAATCAGCACGTCTGAACAACTGAAACAAAAATTTTAAAAAGTTAAAAAGTTAAAAATTGATCAAAATTCTATTCATCAATAGATGAAACAGATTAAAATATCACGTACGTGTGAATCCCTTAACGGCGCAGTGGCATAATCGCTAGAACATCCGTCTCCTACACCGGGATTCCGGGTTCGAGTCCTAGCTGGGGAACTTGTTTTCCCCTTTTTTCATTTTTTTCCCTTTACGTACCTCTTTAGTATGTATTATTTTTAATTTCTTACTTTTTAATTATAATTTTTTATTTTTAATGTATTTCTTTATTTCTTATTGTTTTTTACTGTTTGGGATGGGATGGCATGGCATGGCATGGAATGGCATGGAATGGCATGGGATGGGATGGAATGGGATTGGATGGCATGGGATGGCATGGGATGGGATGGGATGAGATGGGATGTGATGGCTTGACATGGGATGGCATGGCATGGCATGGCATGGCATGGGATGTCATGGAATGGGATGGGATGGAATGGGATGGGATGGGATGGGATGGTATGGCATGGAATGGCATGGGATGGCATGGGATGGGATGGGATGGGATTGGATGGCATGGGATGGCATGGGATGGCATGGGATGGGATGAGATGGGATGTGATGTGATGGCATGGCATGGGATGTCATGGAATGGGATGGGATGGAATGGGATGGGATGGGATGGGATGGGATATGGCATGGGATGGGATGGCATGGAATAGGTTGGATGCAAGGATGCATGGGTGGATGCATGGATAGATAGATAGTTCGATTTTTTTGGGTATTTTCCTTTCAACCAAGCGGTCACCACCTGAGTAACGTCACTGATTTCCCCGGGCAACGCCGGCTATCCCGCTAGTAGTATATATTTCGATACTATTCATGGAATTAGCACGAGTGATTAGTAATTTGTTATACTATTCTCCACGAGTTGAAAGGAGCCGTCTCTTTTTCGTTCGTTTACTAGCATTTTTAAGTATTCTCACGTCGGAGCACGATATATAATTATATAACACTTAAGTGGATTCTACGATGCTAAACTAACTAATGCAGTGTAGCTATAACTAACTACACTCATACTAATACGTTACTGTTAATTACACTCATATTTAATCAAGCAGCTGCTTTGTCGATAACACAAGCACCACTATATGGCTGCCGTAACTCGAGTATATCTTCTACATGAAATACTCCTTTGGCTTCCGACTACAGGGAATCTTAATTAACACCTAATAGCATTACATCAGCCATCACTATATAGTAGAAGACAATCACAGGTAGCGTAAACACATCAGCTATAACTATAGTATAGAAGGCAATCACAGGTAGTGTAAAAACAGCAGCTATAAGTAGATTGTACGTCCATGGCAGGTAGCGTAAACACATCAGCTATAACTATAGTATAGAAGGCAATCACAGGTAGTGTAAAAACAGCAGCTATAAGTAGATTGTACGTCCATGGCAGGTAGCGTAAAAAACAGCAGGTATAAGTAGATTGTACGTCTATCGCAGGTATAGCGTAAACACATCAGCTATAACTATAGTATAGAAGGCAATCACAGGTAGCGTAAACACATCAGCTATAACTATAGTATAGAAGGCAATCACAGGTAGTGTAAAACCAGCAGCTATAAGTAGATTGTTCGTCTATCGCAGGTCGCGTAAACACATCAGCTATAACTATAGTATAGAAGGCAATCACAGGTAGTGTAAAAACAGCAGGTATAAGTAGATTGTACGTCTATCGCAGGTAGCGTAAACACATCAGCTATAACTATAGTATAGAAGGCAATCACAGGTAGTGTAAAACCAGCAGCTATAACCAGATTGTAAGTCAATCAGAGGTGATGTAAAAACAGCAGTTATATAGTTAAATAACTTGAATCTAGGACCATCTTCGAGACTCTAATAATCTCTATTATGGACTCTTGATGTGGATGCATGCGTGCGCGTGCGTGCGCCTGTTCGTGTGTGTGGGGGGGGGCGCGTCCGTGTGTACGTGTGTGCGTGAGGGGGGAAAGAAACTGTACTTCGGTACCACAAGAGAATCACCGATAAACGATGAGGCTTAGCACGTACACGTCCATAGCTCGCGACGGTAGGCCCGGTATATTACATAAACCTACGCAGTAGTATAACCCTCCATCATCTACTACATACGCAGTTTCTCATTATATTGTTTGTTCCGATTCGTCTGCGCACTTATCATGACCCCATGCATACTGTGACTCACGTCGAATCTTATTAGATCTGGCAAATATATTCCGAATAATAACAGGCGTGTGATAACATAGAGTAGTATCTATATTGTGACATTCCTGATCATATCATTAATGTAATATAAACAACAAAACAAACAACGTTTAGAGAATCGAATCGATAACGTAAAACTAATGAAAAAATAATAAACTGTGTGTGTGTGTGTGTGTGTGTGTGTGTGTGTGTGTGTGTGTGTGTGTGTGTG